TAACAATAACCACCCGGTTCTGGTGGCGGGGGGCAGACTCTAGATGGAGATGTGACCCCTTCCTCCAAGCCAGTGTACAACCTGAGGACACCACAGATCCATCATAGGCTGTAGAGAGCAAGTCTGCTAAAAACACTGGGAACTTTCATACCACTGGCATTTAGTTTTTCTAACTGGCTGAGACACATTCAGCCGAACGACTGGTTTTCTGAGGCACAGAACGGGGCTGTGATTGACAGACCATAGGGAAATAGTTAGTCAGGCCAGACATTCAACCTTCCTGTTAGTTACTGTCCCAAAAAGGAAGATTTGGTCTGAAGTGTCTACTGGCCTGTACCATACAGAGCCTCATAAGACACAACGCAATGTCATGAAGTGCTACCAGAGAACAGGTGTACACTGAAGTTGAGAATAGTCATGCATTTGGATGCTACTGAGGGATGGCATATTTTAATGCAGTGAATATTCTTAAGGTTTTTCATCCAGTTCTCCCCTTCAAATTCTGTCTTCATGTTTCTAACTAGGAAAGGTTCAGATAAGCCCAGACCCAGCCTAGTCCATCACCCCTCTCTAAAGCCTGACCACCTGAAAGTTCAATTAAGGGTCCTCTTTTTCCAATCACCTACTTAGTGTAAGGATGTTTCAGGACCAATTCAAACAGGCCCACGGGTTACCTCACAAACCTAAGGAAAGCCGACAAACCCACCGCTCACACAGAGTTCTTAGATCTTATTCCCCTTTTTAGCAAGAACATACCTAGCAATCCTGTTACATGACAGGGACTTTCCTTGTTTTCCCTAAGCACCCCCAAAAATACAATAACAGGGTGTTCAGATCTTAATATTCTTTGCCAGGAACCTTTGTTCACACTTTTCCATCTCTAAAAGATTATACAGATGTTATAACACCCACACAAGCCTACAAAACCTACATCTCCATTGCTTATACATCTACTAATGCATTGCTAATCAATGGTCCACTAGATACAGATTAGGCCTTTATTGTGTGATAAGGGGTAAGCCCACCTAACCAATGCATAACTCCCTTACCCTTAGCAGCTCATCCCCCTTCCAGCAATGGCTGCTTCACCCAACCTGTCCGTCACTAAGTCTCCCTTTCAGAGAAAGGCCCACTCCACTCCAGTGCAGCAAGACCAAGGCACCGCTTGATTGTCCCCGCTGCTCCTATGTGCTAAAATGTAGCTGTGCTGTAGGGCTTACAGATTGCACAGGGGACTGAACAACTTGAAGTGTGTAAAATCTCAGGGACGGGGAGAGAATAGGCCACGGTGGTTGGTTGGTGAGAAAGGCCTTGACTAAATATTTTTCTCAAATCTTCCAACAAGGGGAAAGGGTGTTCAGGCTTATTCTTATGCCATTTGAGACAGGCCTGATTAAGAACTCCAGGCCCAAACCGCTTTGAATTTGGGGAAAATTCTCATTTGGATCAGGCCCATTTCTATAACTGGGCCAAAACAGAACCTCACATCACACGAAATGTCCCCTCCCAAACCTGGGGGAAGTTTAGCTTCAGATGCAAATTTATCTAAGGTACTTATATGGACCCCATTCCTGTAGTATCTAAGCACTTCACACTCTGTAATATCTTTAGCCTCACAACATCCCCGTGAGGCAAAGCAGTGCTAATATCCCCATTTTACAGATGGGAAACTGAGGCACAGAATGGCTACGTGACTTGCCCAATGTCACACAGGAAGTCTGGGGCAGAGAAGGAACTCGAGCCCAGCTCTCTTAAATCCTATGCTAATGCCATAACCAGTGGAACATTCATCTAACACCTTCAAACCTCTAACAAACATCACACTTCTATTTTTATTCTCTTCTGTATTGCATTCTGATCTGTCTCGGAAAAGGTTCCATGTGATGAGCAGTGGAAGAAACGGAAGCTGATGAAGCATCTGTTTTACACCACCATTCTGAAGTGGGAAGGGAAACCCATCCAGCACCTAGGACGGATACACTACCTGGCCATGGTGCAGGTGGCTTATGCCAGCATGGGGGTAACGTACAGCATCTATTGCTCTAAAACATGTGAATCACCTTAGAAGGACTGGAAGCACCTGGAGCTTGGGTTCACATGGAGTCACTGGACTGAGATAGCCTGGGGTCCTAGCTAGATGAGTGCATATGGGAACTACAGCTGGTCAGGAATTTTTCAACCTATCAGTTTTTCACCATAAAATGCAGATGCCTCAAAACCAAAACTGTCTGAGAAACATACATTTCTGACATGAAAAGTGTCGGGGTTTTTTTTGAGGCTAGATGACTTTTCATTTCAAAATTTTAGTAAATTTAGAGTCAAACAAAAGTGAGAAGGGTGGAAATGTCAAAATTAAAGTAAAACATTTCAAAATTGTCAAAACCAAATGATCTGATGAACCCAAACTGGAATTTTGTCACTGTTTGTTGGTTCACAAGAAATTTCGAGATTACAACGTTTCTTCCCAATTTAAAATGGCAGAACTTTTCTAAATCTCAAGAATTCTCATGGGCTGGGAAACCCTAAATGAATCATCAATGACTTTTGGCTTGTGCGACATTATTATTCCATAAGCAATCTAAAAGAAATCAAGTGTCAGCCAAATAGTCTAGTGAAAAAGGATCCCACAGTATCAAAGAGACCGACACAGATGATTTGTGGGTATGTAAAATATCCCTCATAAGTAGGGTGACCAGACAGCAAGTGTGAAAAATTGGGACAGGGGTGGGGGGTAATAGACACCTATAGAAGAAAATGCCCCAAATATCGGAACTGTCCTTATAAAATAGGGACATCTGGTCACCTTACTCATAAGGTATCAAATACCTGTGTATTGTGATGTAGAGTGAGGTACATACCTATACAAACACACAGACACATTGTATTTACATGCAACTATCTGTGAGGGAGGAAATAACACAGATTCTAAACTGATCAGTTTCGTAAGCCTTGTGTATTCTCTCTCATATATACTGTAGAGGATGTTGTCATGTATTTCTGTCCCAGATATGGACTGGCTATAGAGCTTGCTTATACACCCCAGATGTGTTCATCATAAGATCCTTTAATGCTCTGCCAGGTATGACTAAGGCGAGCTTTAATCCTGTATTTTGCACATCATGCCACCTAGTGGCTGAACAGTATAATGCAGCCTAGCATTCCATGACAGATGACCTGTCAATATTTTATATTGTAGCTATAGCAAACAAAGGGGAAATAGAACAGGAGTACTTGTGGCACCTTAGAGACTAACAAATTTATTAGAGCATAA